CCGCAGTCGGGACCTTGCGGGTCGAGCATGTCACGCAGCGTCTTGAACTGCGTCTGGGCCTTGAACGCCTTGTTGAAGTTGGCGACGTTGGTCTGCGGCGAGTCGTCAAACTTGCCGGGGAAGTTGGCCTGGATGCGCGTCACGTACGTCGTGCGCATGACGTTGGGCGTAAACTCGGCCAAGGGGTTGGAGATGATGCCGTGACCGGCGACGAGCGGCGCAGCGAGCGCGAAGAGCGAGACAACCGCGTTGAAGCCCACCATGGATCTGTGTTGCAAAAGGCAAAAGGCAAAGTGAGCCAAGTACGTGAGCTGTATCCAGCCTCGCAACTTGACCGTGCAAGATCACTGGTGCAAGATGGCACCGCGGACGCGGTCGCTAAAACACGCGGTACGTTGTTGGCGCTCTTTTCTGGGCGGAAAACGACGCTGCATAGTACGCGGCCGTGGTATCTGGTGGTACGCGAAGCATTCGAAAGGTCGGGTGTCACATGTTCGCTACCTCCGAAGGACGCTCTTGTAGCGTGTGAGCTAATGCTCCAGAACCAGCTGGGCTTGTCGATGGTGCTGCCGATGGAGTCGATCGACAGTGCAAGGTTGATCTCGGCCGTTCGATTCGAAGTCCATCTGGCGTCGATGTACGAAGCGAACGCATTGCACATGTGCTGCGTAGGCATTAGCTTGTTTCAGGCTAGGGTTGCCGTTTCGTCCATACAAGCATCAAAATAATATATGGCAAAGATTCTGTGGCCGAGGTGTGCGCGAACCGAATCGGAAAACGTCAGCGTTGATACTTTATATACTAGTCTTTGGTCTGGCCCACGACCTAGTCGATTGTCTCGCTGGCGGTTCTCCAAATGTGGTATTTTTACGTGAAAGCAAGCAAAGCACCGTTATATGCACTCGGTTGTTCAGCTCTGTGCTGGCGTCGGTCGCTTGAGTCTGCTCGTGCGAAGGCTCGCGTGATGCCCGAGCTGGATCCTTGGCGAGTGACACTGAGCCCGAAAGTGTCGGCAGCCTCGGGACACGGCCTACAAGCTACATGATGCCCATCGTTGTTGCTCAAATATGTGTGTTGCATCCGAAACTAGACCCAATTGTGATTTGTGATTTGTCCATAGTCCTGGACTAGTTCAAAAGGATGAAAAGAGGTGAACTCGACGGCATGTTGTTGTATCTATGCGCATGACGCGGACGCTACTTAGAACGTACAGGCAACTTAGGCCTCGCGGAGGCTGCGAAGCGTGTTGGGACGGCACTGGTAGTAGTAGTCGTTCTGCTTCTCGCAGCGTGTGCCCGAGACGCACGCCGTCGCGCCGTTGTAGTCCTTGCCGCCGCACTGACCCCAGACCGCGACCGTGCCTGACGGCTTGGACATGGGCTTGGTCGTGGGCTTGGTCGTCGGGTTCACCGGCTTGGGCGTCGGGTTGACCGGCTTGGGCGTTGGGTTCACCGGCTTGGCCGTGGGCTTCGGCGCCGACGTCGGCTGCTGGCCGTTGCCCTTCAGCGGCACGCAGTTCTCTAGACGATAGCGCATTAGCTTCCATGCATACACAAAGCATGGAGAACGTACTGTAGACTTGCCACATTGGCTCGTGCAAGGCGAGCCAGTAGAAGCGAAGCATGCAGCCGTTGGCGCCGCAGCTCGAGTAGTCGACCGGGAGGTTGGCCGCCGGCTTGGCCGGAAAGTTGGTCGCGCAGTCGTCGTTCTGGAACACGCGCTTGTTGTCGATCCAGACCTCGCACGGACCCGTGTGGCTCGGGATGAAACCCTCGCCCGTGTCGGGGTTCTGCCACGTCATCATGCCATTGGTCGGGATCGCCTTCTTGGCGCCGTTCGTGAGCGTGTTGCCGCAGTCGGGACCTTGCGGGTCGAGCATGTCACGGAGCGTCTTGAACTGCGTCTGGGCCTTGAACGCCTTGTTGAAGTTGGCGACGTTTGTCTGCGGCGAGTCGTCAAACTTGCCGGGGAAGTTGGCCTGGATGCGCGTCACGTACGTCGTGCGCATGACGTTGGGCGTAAACTCGGCCAAGGGGTTGGAGATAATGCCGTGACCGGCGACGAGCGGCGCAGCGAGCGCGAAGAGTGAGACAACCGCGTTGAAGCCCACCATGGATCTGTGTTGCAAAAGGCAAAAGGCAAAGTGAGTGCGATCTTTCTGTTGCTGCTGCGGCGGCGTTGCTACCAGGAGTCACCGCGGACGCCGCCGCCAAACCACGCGGTACGTCTGATGTAATGCGGCTGCATACTATGCCGTCGCGCTCCGAGCTGTGGCTACATTTTCTGCAAATGATTTTCAAACCAGATGGCGGTGGCTGCTCGTCTCACATGGTGTCGAAGCATACAAGGCGCAAGTCAAATGGAGCAACACGTGCGTTTTGGTAGACGTAGAGAACGCATTGCACACGTGGTTCTAGCAGTGTCTAGGGCTAGTACCGGTGTGGGGTTGTTACAACTGATGCAACGGATTGCTGCAACACGACAAGCACACTCCAGGTTGGTTTCATGCAGCAGGACCACGAGTTCTTGCAGCCAGAACGGTCGAGATGATTGATACCACTGCGTCGTCTTAGATATGACTCACACAAACAAGATCCAGACAGATCGCGCTCAAACTTCGATCAAGAATTTTCATTATACGTACTTGTACAACGCCACAAGAGAATACACCAAATCAGCCTTGCCTAGAGCGCGCGACGAAGGTGCTGCTGCGCCATGCGGACCGAGACGACGCCATTCGCAGGACTCGGGTTCGCCACCGAGCTCTTGAGCCAGCACGTGTTGGCGTTGATCGAAAAGCCGACGCAACCACTGGTCGTCGAGCACCCGTTGCAGCACTGCGCGACCTGCACCGCCGTGTCGCCGTTGACCTGGAAGCTGCGGATGTCGTTGCCATAGTAGTCGACGTTGGAAGCGACGCTGCCGCACTGGCTGGACGAACCCGCAGAGGCGCCAGACGCAAAGGCCGAGACGACGCCAGCACGGGGCGCCGGGGCGCCAGACGCAGAGACGACACCAGCACGGGGCGTCGGGTTGCTGAGCGTGTGCTTGAGCCAGCACACACCGCTGTTGATGGAGAAGCCGGCGCAGCCGTTGGTCGAGCTGCACGCCGCGCAACACTGGCTCAGCTGGTCTTGCGCACTGCCCCACACGCCAAGGTTCTTGATGTCGTTGCCGTAGTAGTCGACGTCGCTTTTGGCGTTGGCGCACTGGCCGTCGCTGTTGGGTTGCGGCGCGGGCCCCGGGTTCTGGCCGTTGCCTTGCAGCGGGACGCAGTTTTCTACACACAGTACCGCAGCGTCAGCCATGGATCCATACAGGTCATTGCGAACGTACTGTAGACTTGCCACTCAGGCTGGTGCAGCGCAATCCAGTAGAAGCGCAGCATGCAGCCATCGCCCGTGCAGCTCGAGTAGTCGACGGGGAGGTGCGCGGCCGGCTTGTCGGCAAAGTTGGTCGGGCAGTCATCATTCTGAAACACACGCTTGTTGTCGAGCCACACCTCGCAGGGGCCCTACCAATGAGTAGAGCTTGAGTATGCGATACGTTCATGAATGTAGTTGGGCACCGTGTGGCTCGGGATGAAGCCTTCGCCCGTGTCGGGGTTCTGCCACGTCATCTTGCCGTCGGACGGGATCGCCTTCTTGGCGACGTTGGTGAGCGTGTAGCCGCAGTCGGGGCCGTGCGGGTCCAGCATGTCACGGAGCGTCTTGAACTGGGACTGGGCCTTGAACGCCTTGTTGAAGTTGGCGACGTTGACTTGGGGCGAGTCGTCAAACTTGCCGGGGAGGAACGCTTGGATTGTTGCCACGTACTTGGTGCGCATGACGTCTGACCGGAACTCGGCCGGTGGGTTGGACACGATGCCATGGCCCGACGCGAGGGGCAGTGTGAAGGCGAAGAAACGCAAGAGCGCGGAGGTGGCCACCATGGCGTGAATGCAAAGGTGTGCTGTGGACAACGCGGTGGTTTGGATAATGAGCGTATCTCCAACGACGTGGAAGTCGGGAATGCTCGTCGAGTGGTGACTAGAGCGGTGTTGCCTCAATTTCTGTTTTGCTATGCATCTATCGTAAATGCGCGGTAGTCGAACGCCATGGCAAGATGCAACTTGGTGTTGGAACTGAAGGAAGCATGCGTAATGCCGACTGGACCCGTTCGAAGTGAGATTTGGCTGCATTGTAACCATGTCCCACGAATAGAGATCCTCGAAGAGCTGGATTCGGCAAGGCAACTTGCCAAGGCCGTTTTGGCGTTATTAGACCTTGGAATATCGGCTGCTGCTTTCACGTCCGAAACTTATTCACGGAAGTCGCATGGTGCATCTACTTCGAACTAGTATGTAGTTACATATCTTCGGATGGGTGGTTTTCCGTCACAGTCCGCTAATTTGCACTGTTGTCTTGATGCGTTGCGGCCATCCATTTCCCATCATAATACCCACAGCTGCTCGATACACTGTATTCGTACTCACCTCGGAGCATATCACACGTTCCCTAGGTATTTTAGTCGCTTGCAGAATGCTTGGACCAAAGACATGCCGTGCCTGGCAGGGTATCCAGTAGCATGACAAGCTCGCATAGCACGCGAAGGCAAGCACCATCCCTCTTGCAAGTCGCTCACGGCCAATCCAAGCAGACACAGCGAGACACCATCGACTCATCTTTTCTAAGAACCATGTTCGATTCATGCATATCATTGTGTCGTCGGCATAACCCGTTGAGATACTCGGTTCGTGTAACCTCACCCGAACTGTTACACCACCTTGGCTGCAGTTCGGCTTTCACGCGATGGAACGCGCGAAAGCGTCGCCACTCGACGAGCATTCCCGACTTCCACGTCGTTGGAGATACGCTCATTATCCAAACCACCGCGTTGTCCACAGCACACCTTTGCATTCACGCCATGGTGGCCACCTCCGCGCTCTTGCGTTTCTTCGCCTTCACACTGCCCCTCGCGTCGGGCCATGGCATCGTGTCCAACCCACCGGCCGAGTTCCGGTCAGACGTCATGCGCACCAAGTACGTGGCAACAA